TAACTATGTATTCATTAATATCCGCTCAATACGCCGTGCAGGATCTAAGATACATTTTTATACAATTCATTTTTTTTCAAGGTTGAATTAAGTGTACTTGAACTCTTTTTTTTTAAGAACTAAAATGAAATACGAACAACTACAAGAAACTAAAGAAGCAGAAATATATGCAGACTATGGTTTATTGTTAATAGAAAAATTTGATGTGAAATTGTTTAAAATTAAGAGAAGAAAAAATACTTATTATTAACATCACGCTGAGGGGTCATGGTTTGGGTTATTTTTTGTATAAGAAGAATTTATCAAGATATACTTGACTCAGATGCATATACAGAATTTTTAATTAAAAATATTTACGAATTGTTTTAAATATAAATAGGTTACAGTAATTATATAACGAGATATCCAAAATATTTTTTGTTGAAAATATGAAAATGTATTGAAAAATAGGCTTATCATCAATGTATTGGTGATAAACCTATCAAAGAAGTACCTAATAAGTCATGAACCATGGCGTTGATTAATAATATAATAATTGAATAAAAAAAAATATTAAAGAAACTGAATTTTGTATGTGTATTAGACTATAGTAAAAAGTAACACCTTAAAAATTTGATTTCATTTTTTGAAGAATGCTTATTTTTATTATTATATTAATTTCTGATTCAAATCCACATTTATTTAGAATAATTTATTAGCGAACATAATTAAGTAGGTAATTAATTAATATTTAGGCGAAAATAATGGTGGTAGATTTAATTAATGGTATACTCTTTTATAAAGATTGAAATAGTTTTCTTTTTGTATACAAATGGGCTAGTAATATTATCGTTTTTAGCACCTGTACATTTTGTACATTTGTTGCTTTAAAAACAATCTGAAATGTCAATATTCCATGGGTATATTGATAAATGAGGTCTAAATTATAAGAAAATGCATTTTCTACGAAAACTTGAAGAGATGGGTAAAAAATGGTATAATACAATTTGATAGACAATTACATTGTGCATCTGATTCACGTAAAATATATAGGGTGTTCAATTTAAATTAAACAAGTTATTGCCGTTTAAAGCATTTTTTAAAAATTTATACAGGGTGTTTCATAAAATATGACCATGGAGTAATAGCGATTCTGCTTAAACTGCTTGACGTTTAAAACTGATTTTTGGCGAACGGATTGACTGTGGGGCGTAGAGGTTCGATAAGGAGGGGTTTCTCGATTGTTTTTTCTCATGCTGACATAAATGTGAGAAAATTTTATCCAGTTTGTATGTTAATGGAAATTCTTGCTTTGCTTTATCATCACCATTACAAATGATTAATTCGACGCGAACGAAGTCGCGGGTACAAGTTAGTTATAAATATATAAACAGTTATTATTTTTCTTATCAACAAAACTTACCTTCTTAACAGTATTTTAGGGACATAAAAGGCCATTACTACCGCTTTCCCGTTCAAAATATTCTAATAATTGCGATGAGTTTTTTACGGATATTAAGCTATCGTGTACACTTTGCACTAAAAGAGGTTCTAATATTTATATAATTCTGTCATGAATAAATTATTCTATTATTGTGGTTATTAAATAAAACTAAGTTTTACCATATGTTTGTCATCTGTTTCAGAAAGATAATTAGCGACAATAATAAAATCTGTGTCCTCTAGTCAGTATATCTGTTTATTTAAATAACCGCAAACCATTTTGGAAAGTATAAACAAAAAACCGTAAATCGAATTCGAGTTTGCCTCATATTATAAATATTTATATCAGGCTCTAACCTAAAAATAGCAAAATAAAATATAACCAAGTCACATTTTAAACAGAATTGAAGTTTGTAAATTTGTCTTGTTCTTTATCGTTCTTCTTAAGTACCTTCTACCATTTTGGTACTGCGCTTAAGTTGCCTTGGGGTACTGACTCAAGGCTGTCTAGCCGCAAATTGTCGAGTACCTACTGCCATTTTAGTTGAGCTGGACTTAATATTAATTTAAATTGCAAATCTTACTTTAGATATGTTAGAGATCTATGTGTTATGTTGTTATTTTCATTTATTTTATTTAAATTAATATTTCCTAATATTTCAGTTGGAGGCTGAAACTTTTGGTGTTACGACAGCAAAATAAAACACTACAGCATAACAGGACAAAGCACTTTACTTATCACACTGGATGCGCGTTTCACTAACCATGTTACAAACTAACCATGTGATTGAAACTGTTTTGATTGTCTGCTAATGATGCTAACATGATTAGCGAAACGCGCATCCAGTGTAAAAAGTAAGGTGCTTTGGTGTATTGTGGTGAATTAGTGTTTTATTTTGCAGTCTTAATATTGTCATAAATAAGAACTAATTAATTTTTTTCAACAATTTTAGTACTACAAGACTGAAAACAATGAAAATGCCAATAAAATTAAATATTGCAATAATGTGTAATTAGTTTATATCTAATTGAAACAGCTAACTACCTAATTATAATATATTTTGTTCAAGGTTTCTAGTAGGTACATTATGTAAGAACACAGTAGTATATTTTCTTGATTATAAGTAACGACAAAAAATATTTATATCTGTTACGGTTAAAGTCTGATGTCCGGTTAATGTCGACATTAACAGGTTAATGTTTGGGATGGTTATATTTTTGGTTGTTCTGTTGTGTATTATTCTCGAGATTAACCAGGTAATGTCGACATTAAGCGGACATCGGACCTTAACCGTAACATATCTATTATGAAGCTCTTAATTTTTTGATGGAATATTTTTCCATTTTGTTCTCCAATTTAATATAATTGCTCATACTATTCAGTTTTATTATTGTTATGATTGATCAATTAGAGGGCAGGTCGTTGCAACTTAGAGCTGCAGTATTTCTTATACTGAGTGTTCCCAAACAAAACTCTTGCTCTGGCTCTTGCGAATATAATTTTATAAAGACCAATCGGTCTGTAAAATCTATTTCTAAAAATTTCTCTAAAATAATTACCTAATCAAAATTTGGTTAGGTAATTATTTAATGAATGTAGAAACATGAAAAAATTTGGAAGTTTCCTTTTGTATTCCGGGGAATTGGTCTGTTAAATTTTATTATAAACGTCTGAATGTTTTAAGAATTTATGAAACAGGGATTCAAAATTAAATTGAGGACATTTCGACACTGAAAATGCGTTCTACTTGCAAGATGAATATCTTTAAAACTAAAAGAAAATCTTTCTTTCAATTTCTCTCTTCTTCTTGAAGTGCCTATCCTCTTTGGATGTTGGGTATCACATTGATCCATATTACTTTGTTCACTGCCGTTCTGAACAAAGCTGTTGACGTCAATCCGGTCCATGTTCGTAGATTTCGCAGCCACGATATTCGTCTGCGTCCCGCTGATCCTCTGCCTTCTATTTTCCCCTGCAGTATGAGTTGGAGTAGGCGGTATTTCTCGTTCCGCATGATGTGTCCGAAGTATTCTAGTTTTCTTCGTTTGACATTTGCCAGAAACTCCAACTCCTTGTTGATGCGATGTAGTACAGTCTCATTTGACATGCGATGCACCCACGAAATCCTAAGCATGCGCCGATAGCACCACATCTCAAATGCCTCCACACGCTTGCATGATGCGTCGGTAAGGGTCCACGCCTCTGCTAAATATAGAAGGGTTGAGAGCACGTAGCATCTCAGGATTCTGATTCTAGTGCGGACGTTCTCATTCAATTCACGTCAATTTCTCTGGCTAAAGTATATTTTAATGTGTTTGTGTTTTGTGAAGAAGTTGTTAATGTGAATATTTTATCTGTAATGTTCTATTTTTATTATATCTGTATTACATATTTATTTCATTTTACTTTGTATCTTGAAATGCTTAATAATATTGACGATTGTAAACATTAATGGTAATTTAACATGAATAAAGAATTTGAATATCCTTGGATACAGTTTTATGCACCAATGCTAAGAGCTGTTTCAAGTCACACAAATGACGCACATGTATCCCTATTTTAGTAAGAGAATCGACACTGTATTTTCCTCAACTCCGTGGACGTGTTTCCATATTTCTACCATTCATATTTTTGTCCTCGCGATGAGTATATAGATCCTGCAGTGATAGGATAATGGATACCGGTATATGGATATACAGTATGGTGATGTGAATTTGTAGAATACTCCTGGATTAGATTCTTTTAGGTGACTATCGGCCCGATCCACTGCAACCTGCTGATCGTATTGTGGCGACCGCAAAATACTCCAAAAGACATTCAATTTTGTGAATAGAAGGATTGTGTGTTCCCCTTTCTTGAGATATAACGAGTTATAACTCATCATACAACCTTAGGGCTTTAACAAAAGCCAGTATCTGAGACGACTCTACAGATGCCAGCTCTCCATCCTCGACCTCAGCCGTACCAAAGTTCATGGCACGAACGGTCGTCGCGTCGTCTCGTCGCACTCATTGATAAGGTGTTCTGGTGTTTCCCTATTTTCCCCACAGAATCTGCATTTGCCGTTGTTTCTCAGCTTCAGCTTACTGAGGAGTTCGTTGAGGAGATAGTGTCCTGTTAGAAACCGCGTGACAATCTGAAGATTATTTTTACTTATATCCAGAAAAACCTTTCAGTTGGTTCCCGCTTGGAGAACAGAACGGTTCTGGTCCAGTTAGTGGAGTGTTCGCTCCTTTTCTAGCTAGATCATTTGCTTTTTCATTGCCTTCTATCCCTTGGTGAGCAGGCACCCAGAGTAGAAGGATTTTATTTTCTTTGCCTAATTTGTTGAGCTTCTCGGAGATCAAGTTGAACCAATCAAGTTATTCAAATCCACATTATCAGAGCATCAAAAGCAGATGCTAATTGAAGAAGAATAATCTCTAGAGAATATTCAAAGCTGCTTTATTGAATAAGCTCTGCTTTAGGCTTTAGAAGATCGATCAATATCCGCTCCTCTAAAGTACCGTCGTCGCCTAGCGGCATCCCGGCGCTTGAGACTTTCCCGCTGCAAATCTTTTTCCTGCTACCACCGCGCTCGGCTCGCCAAGCAGTACCAGCAGGCGCTTTCGGTTAGTCATCGTTGCGCTACGAGAGCGATCAGCGCGCCGCGTCTTCGAGCGTCCGAAGTTCCTCGTGCGCGCTTGCAGAAAACCTAACAACCCTTATTTGGGGAATTACAGGCGTTTGGAGTGTCGGGTTTTGCATGATCTTTATTGCTTCGGGTGATATAAAGAGAAAAGTGAATGCGGATAGAGGTGGATTGGAATTGTGTTGGAGTTTCTTTACTTGAGACAGGTTGGTATGACTAATCTATTCTTGTTAGTTTTGAATTGGAATTGACCAAAGTGGACCTGAGGCATTTCGAATCCGATTTTTCGTTAAATTTTGTAATATATAGAATTAAAAGACCGAAATTGAACAAATATAAACTGCAATATTGTTCGATATAGAAGTAGTAGTATGTAAGGCCTTTGATTTCTGCGAGGGCAAAACATCTTTGATTTCTAATATACCCTGTATATCAAAAACATCAGAAACACCAATTGGAGTGTCAAAAAGTTCTTTGAGTTGAGTTCTTCGAGTTCTTGAGTTAAGTACTGTTTTTCTGTGTTGGGGTAACATCTCCGTTATGGACAAATGTGGCAAAAAAATCGTAAATAAACTCTTATAATCGCAATAACCTAACTATTGTAGAGCCACCATTTTCTAGTCGATCACTGGAGTTCAGCGACGATACCCGAGGTGAGAATTTGGTCGGGTGACTATCTGAGAACTTCATCTTGTTGTCTAAAGGTAGCCTATCAATACAACCAAATTAGCCGCTGTAGCACGTTAACCAATATACAAATACTATTTTTTAAAATTTTCAATAATTAAACATCGTACTTTACTGTACACTTTACATCATAAATCATAAGTAACCATTGTGCATTTACTATATAAGCTTGGTGAATTTCACTTGATTTCAAAAAATGCCGACCGCAGCGCTCTCTACGGCAGAAATCAGAAATTTTCATTACTCAGTTTGTGTTGATCGCATTAAAATAATATTGAAATCGTGGCTTCGTCATAATATTTAAGTATTTTAGTTGTTTGCTAGTGGAGTTATAATTGGAGAAAAAATTAAATAGACATATACTATGAGAGGATAAAATATAATTTGCAATATCACCTACTGGTATATATTTTAATCAACGTTATTATGAACATCTTCTAAAATTATAATTATGTACCTTTAAAAATATTTGTCATAGCCGAAATAGCCCCAATTATGACTCCACTAGCAAAACCGGTGCGTAAAAATATGCTTGATACCGTAGTTGAACTCATCTAAAAAGTTTTTTTAGCTGGAATAATAAATTATAATACAAGTTCGACCTGCTGGAGACATCAAAATATTTACTTTTTTACTTAGAATTTTTACAAATTATACTTCCTACCACTTTTAGAATAATTAAATAATACATTTTTCGTATACTCGCTATTTCAACCTGTGTATTTGTATATATCGATTGTTTACGATATTCTCCGATTGTGGCAGCACCGGCGGAGAATGCACCAAGCCTATAATTTAGAGATAACGTTTGCTCAGTACAGGCGAATATGTAAACACTTACAAAAATCCCTATATTAATTCGCCTGAAAACCACAATAAAACAGAAGACTGTAAAATATTTACCTAGATATAATAAAATATAAGTTGCACAAAATTTTTGATGGTGAAACATCTGGATCTTTTAATATTTCAGTTAAAGATTACAAGCATTACTTACGAAACATAGTTTTTTCATGGAGAACATTCGTGGATCTCAGATTACAAAATCGTCTGGAGCAATGCCAAAATGAAAGAGTCGATATCAAAATTGCAATAAAAATGGCAATAAACGTAAAAGGAAATTACTTTTAGGAAATAAAGATCTGGAGAAAGTTCATATATAGTCTGTCCAACGAGAAGATCCTTGACAGTGATAGATGTGTCTGTCATTTTAATTTCAAAGTAGTTTATTTTATTTTACAAAGAAATAAGTTGGTACAACTGGAACGCATAGCAGGATATATTTAAAATTTGATTGACAAGATGACAAGTGATTACTTCAAAATATTGTGAAAAAAACTATATAAAACTGAAAATGTAATCGAGTTATTTTATTTAATAAAAACGGTATATGTTAATACAAAACAAACAAGAACAAGACACTACATACCAAAAAAATATAAAAAAGAACTATTATTTACTTTCAAGCTTTATGAAACTACCCGCATTTATGATTATATTTATCAATATAACTTATGTACAAATACAAATTTGTAATATTTCACAGGAATAAATAAAACAACATAGGTAAATAAAACAAACTATTTTATTAATAATAACACCTACCAAATTTTATACCTTAAAGGTTGATTAATTAACTTTAATCATAATTTTTTTAAACCAGTACCTTTTGACATTATTTTTCTGCAGTACTAAAATCCATTATTTACCTATCGTGTGATGTCGATATTTTACAGCTACTCCAGTTTTTAGTATGTGTTTAGTTTGATCCTTCTACCATATACGAGATGCACTTATCTACGACGAAATGGTATACAAACTTTATCGATGGCAACTTCATTGGTGTATAAGACTTTCTGCCTGGACAGCGAGTATTAACCATAAACTGTGCTCTGGGTCTACAGTTAATTTTCACTCGATTTTTCCTCTACTTGACTTCAAAAGACACAAAACACACGTAATAATACGAATCAAAATGCATCATCTTCCAAAACGCAGGGTGTTTAACAAAAGTTGACAGAAAATTATAACCTATAATTTGGCAAGACTTTGACAAGCGTCAAAAGTGACAAAAATCTAAAGGCGAGTTCATACGCATCGGTGTTCGTTTGTCGTTCATCGTTCCGTCAAACCAATAAAAATGAAATACGATCTGTCATTTTTTAAATAAACCAATAAAACTGGTTAAAAACAACAAGACACGACTCATGACGGATTTATATTTAAACCCATCCATAGATAACTTAAAAATTATTAGAAACTTTTTTTAGTAAAATAAATAGATTGGTATGGGACGTCATCTGCTTTTCTTCTGTCATCGTCTGTCGAAATCTTACCTGAGAAAAAAAACAGAGTTTACTGTATTTATTGTGAAGAGAGTGGATACGGCAAAAGATCCAGGTAATAGATGTTATCTACAGAGTCAAGTCCCTCAGGCAGGATACCTGGCAAGAAGGACGGACAACAGATGTACCACAACAATTACAGTATGGTACCCACAACGAATTAAGGGACCTAGAGGAAGACCAATCCTGAGATTGGACCATGATATCAGGAAATTAACAGGGATAACTTGGGCCCGCATAGCCAGCAATAGACAACAATGGGCCCAACTACAAAGATTGTATGTGAGGGAGGCTACGCCATAATTGGAAATGGTCGAATGTGTTGAAAATGATGAGGATGATGATGATGAAATAAAAGAAGACAACGTTAAATAATGGAAGTGACAGTAGTGGATAATCTCATTTTGCAGACTATTATATATTTTCTACCCATTGCATACCAAGTGCATAACAAATCGTTAAAAAAATAATATCAATGCGACTTGAAGAATATAACAAAGTTAAAACAGGATATTATTGAAGAAAAAACATAATAAATAGGAAACTTAACATATTATCTAGTTAATGGGACAAAATCGATATTATACCAACCACTATAGATATGAGAAATATAAATAGCTTTTATAAGGTTAATTGAAAATCAGTCAAGCATATTCAGAAATATTTCTGTTCAATATCAGAACATGGAACAATTATTTCAAAGCAATTAAATATTTTATGGTTGTCTTAGATTTGTTTGGTATTTATATATTTTACATTGACAATTGACATATCAATAGATAGATTATCTATCCTCTAATCAAGTTCAAAACAATGAAAAATGGACACATATGTAGATAACCGTAGGGGTTTAACCAGGAAATATTTTACTGCCAATACATTCTCGTATTTACATAATAACTTTAAAAAACACTGTATAGGTGTGTTATTGTTATAGGCTAAACCAATATGTATACTATTTTTTGATTCTTATCTGTATTTAAGTTTTTTTTTCTAAAGTAAACGGGATACAAGTAATTTGGGACAAGAACCTACTCATTACAAACCAGTCTCTATAGCGCTCACATAATGCATTATTCATTCGTATAACATAGATATCGAATATAGGAATGTGTTAAATATTGAAACAGCAATCTAATTAATTGCAACTGTAGTTTTTGCACTAAATTCTCATGATCGCCTAGATTTATCTATTTCTTGCTTGGTTTTACTAAATTAATAACGCTAAATCAGCAGAAAAACGTGATAACCTCACCAGATATTAATTTGAAATTTATCTGTGCAACATTGATGTTCTTAGTGTATCGGTACTACTGCTTGAGAGCACCAAATCCAAAATTGAGAGTAATATTCAAATTACTCTCGAATGTGTAATTAATTTCAAAGTGGATCCAGTACACGTCGCAAAAAAACTACTAGGGTCAACAACAATACGTATATTGGCAAATGATAAAACTTTAAAAACGGTAAATCAAACTGAAATTAAACAAATTCACTGCAGCTTCCCATTAACTTAAAGGTAAACTTGATATATAAAATACCTACAATAAATAGGTGAGAGAGAGAAATAACATTGCCTAACTGAGGCGAGAGTAATATTGCGAGAATTAGCGAAAAGTGTACAATTCAGAGACTGAATTAATAGGCGTGATGCTGCCTGAGAGGGTTCACGGGCGTCTCTTCGTGACAAAATAGAAAGTTAAGATCTGCCATTCGAACAAGACAAAAAAAACACATGGCCGTCAAGGGTGGTATTTTAAGTGTTTTGCAGGTCAATTTAGCGAAGCGTGTGAAAGCATCCCTTCGTGATCAACTTTCTATTTTGTATACATTAGGTAGTAGGATAATTTTAACATATTTACAAAACTAATACTAGGTGTTCATCAAAATAGTAAAAAAAACAAATGCGTTTGAATTGTATTCGAACATACTCCCCGCCTTAAAGGCTCTGCCTTTAACCGCAAACAACAGGGTAACTGAGGTATGATGAATCATCAATTGCATTTTTACAATATATCTAAACAATCTAATTCTTAGCGTACGCGACAAACTTAAATCAAAATTTAAAGGAAACATACTATAAAGAAAATTATTTTATGATTAGGGCTAGTTATCGAGTTTGGGTAGGGGACATAATTTAGTGACGTTTCTTGTTAAAATGCCATTTTTAGATT